ATGGCAATACCTTATTTTTCTGAAAAAAAAGATTCTGTAACCTGATGATACTTTGAAACATTTCTGTGAAAAACAGAGTAATGCCATGGCTTCATGTACCTCAGTACTACCGCTTCAGCCAGCGCTGATCTATTATAGAAGAAACTTTTTGTGTTTGATAAGACATTCTAATTTTTGTTATGCTAAGCAATCATTTTTGATTTTTAACCCCACCTCTATTGGCGGTTTCAAACATGTTATATTAATAGTAGATTATACCACGAGTCAATAATGATAGCTATTATTCCCGAGGGAATAATGGCCATTATTGCGAGTAGTATACTCTACTTTATTTACGACAAACTAATTTATTTGAGATTTTCAATGAACGAATTTCATCCATCTCAATTCTCGATACAAATTCACAAGCAATACACGTTTGACACTGACACTTTTGAGGAATAATGACCATTAATCCCGCTACTCGTCATTATTCCCTGAGGGGATAACATATGTCATTATACTGCCAAAATCACAAGTATAATACTTACATTATACATTAGTCGTAAATAAAATTATTTTAAAATCGAATTAAACTGTAATTTTCAAGGTTACTGAAGGTCATATCGTTTTGAAAATATTTTTTTTGAATCCCTTGACCTAAAACTATATAATAAAATGTATAATCATGCCCAAGTGAATTAATTTTGAAATTGAGAAAATTTCCGTCCGCCATTTTGAAAAAAAATGCGAGATTGGGAGTCTTGAGGGTCGTAGAGCCTGGCTAGTCGGGTCAGATCTCTTAAAATGAGCTTCCTGACAACTATGCCAAATTTCATGCTTGTAACCCAATTTGGCGTTTTTTTTTGTGTAGGCTCTCCACTACTATACCCCAAACTGAATGACAATCCTCTGATGAAACGTGTTAAACTTCCCAGGAAACTGTATGTTTTCTACTTCAGATTTCTTGTTGGCCATGGTCATTTTGGTAAACATATGTATAAGATAAAGCTGAGTGACAGTGACATCTGTTCCTGTGATGGGCAATCGGAAGATGACATAAACCATAGATTGTTTGGATGCGATCACAACGTGCAAGCAGTAGGTACTATATCTGAGAAGTGAATTGGAGAAGCGGCAGCTTTTGCCACTAAATTATCAATCTTTCATGGATCTCATTCTATTGCATAAGGATTTAGAAGCGACTTTCATTCAGTTTTTGAAATTGTGTAAGGTGTTGATTTAGGATCTAATTAATAGAAGAATCGTGCGCCTTTGTGTTTTTTCTTATGTGTTTTTATCCTTCCTAACCGGGTCCAGCTGTACCCTGTGAATTGTTGAAATAATGTCCTGCATTGACCTCAGGACGAGAAGCGTGTGACCATGTGTAATCCCCGGTGTTGTTCTTTCATCTGACGTTGTTTCAAGTTTGTTGTAAAGCAGTATAGGAAAGGAAAATAATATGTAATCAGGAAAGTGATATTTAGGAAAATAATAATGAGTAATAGGTAGGTAATGCCATATGTTCCATTATTGGATGTAGATGTAAGACGTGGCTAAATGAGTCATTTGAAACTCGAGGCAAAAAAAAAATAAATAAATAAATTTGAAATCTGACCAATCAAATTCGATGTGGCTATTTTGAGCGGCATAATGTTACAACATGAGCTAGATCAGATCAGGGGTCAGGATGTCGGGATGGCCTGTTTCACTTCTCCGTTAGAAGTGCCGCATGTTTTGTATATTTCCCGCTCATTGCTCTATTGAAATTTACGCGAAGACATTTTAATATTTATTCATGATGGAGATGGATGCGATAAAACTACCCACAACGTTTGTTTGTTCCAATGGGTGCGTTCCAAGGGCCACAACCGTTGAGACCGCTTAGTGAGCGTAACGTTCCAAATGCCCTAACCAGTGGCGTAGCCAGGATTTTGTCTTGGGGGGGGGGGGGCAAATTTGCAGGAAGCGTCTCTTGCGGCCCTACCGCGACCGCTGCCGGAGGCAAAGCGCTGCAGGCGCGAAATTTTTGGGTGCCACGCCCCTTTTTCAGGTTTCTTTACACTATTTTTGGGACTGTTTATCTTAATTTTGAAGAAATATTCATAATATTTAAGGGTCTTGGGGGAGGCAAATGCCCCCTTGCCCCCCCCCCCCCCTGGCTACGCCAGTGGCCCTAACCTTGAACGCTCAGTCTCAGCGGTTGGCTATTTCGCTGAGCGGAGAAATTTTACGGTCACCGCCGTCAAAACGGTTGTGACATGCGCACAGCTGCTCATTTTAATTTTCCGGTTTTGTGGCAGTCGGCAGTAGTGATGAACTAATTACTCAATTCTAACAGCTCTTCAACAGCATTAAAGTGGTACCAAACCAAAAAAATTACAAATAATAAAATCAATTACCGTACCGACAACATGTAAACAAAAACATCTGTGGGGAGAACTGACAGTAAGCACCTAAAAATTAGGCGGAGCGTTCCAAGTGCTCACAACTGTTGAGTGTGAGCCTTTTCCTGCTCAGTTCAGCAGCTTAGTCACTTGGAACGCGCCCAATGTTATCATGCAAACTTGTTATCCGAAAACGACATAACAATTTGGATCAAAGATTTACCCCCTCAAATAATAAAAAAGGAAAATCAAAAAAATCGGACTGCAGAGCAAATATAAAAATTCATTTTAAAATAACAACGAAAAACACGATTAGAAGGGACAAATTTGTAAAGGCCACTAAAATTCCCTGTATACAGGGTGTCCCATAAGTAATGGTAAATTTTGACAACCGATTTTATATAGATAAAAAAATATTGACATTGTCAAAGTTTCCCAGACCAAAAGTCAACGGCCATACAAAGATACAGGGTGATAAAGTTGATTTAGTTTTTTTTTTTTTGAATTTGGGTCATAAATTTCGCAATTACATGTCTTTCAGTCTGTCCTTTTGCTTTTGAGTTTTGATTTGAATTTGAAGGTTTTGCTTCTCATTCTAAACCTGGTCATCACCTGGTGCAGCTTGGTGTTATTTTGCCTTGCCTTTGATGCAAATAAGCAAACAAAGCTATTGAATGGACTGTCAATAAAATATTTACCATTACTCTTGGGACACCATGTACATACATTATACTTACAGGGTGCTGAAAATAGAAATTATGATGACATAAAAAAACTGTTTATTTCATTATAATTCGCATTTGAGATTTATGAAATTTTAAATACATACATACGTATGTACAGGGTGTCCCAGCTTAAACGAAGCAGACGCATTTCCGGCCAAGATATAATAAATCTAAATCTAAATTTATTAACCCCTTGTAGGTCCAAAATAGGTATATTTCTTAATTCTTCCGTTTCAATCAAAAAAATAACAATTTAATCAATATATTCATGAAAAAAATCCATCGGAAATAACATCTAAATTTCTGAATTGTATAACACGTACAAAAGACAGTTATAAATTTTTCAACATCAACATTGTTTGTTAAATTTGATAGGTACTAATGCTCTATCGCCTGTACCATTCTGACCCTAATTCCAGCCCATGCAATAACATTCTGACCCTTTAAATACCTCCATCATCGTCCCGACATTCTGACTCCTGATGCAGCGCATGTAGTACCAATATGCCACCCAAAAAAAGCAATCTAATGCAATGCAATAGATTATCAAGAAAATAGATAGATAGGTACATTTCAAATAAATTATACACAGGCATGAAAAAATCAAACGAAATGCACGTTTAAATAGAATAGTTCTTGTGTTAGCGCCGCTAGCAATTAATTGTAAATACCAGTGACGCACCCAGGAGGGGGGGAATCGGGCCTCCCCCCCAGGCCGCCCCTCTAAAACTGTATTTTTACGTTTAAAAAAATTTGGCATCAGGGCGTGACACCCCGTGTGCCACTGGTAAATACAAATAAGGATGTTTCAATATTACAGGGACAAACTTAAATAAGTTATCCCTTGAGTCCCAATTTGTTTGAGCATTTTTTATTTGAAAAAATTGCCTGATTTAAGTACCTACTTGTTAAAATTTGCTGCTGTGGCAGAGGTACTTAATATTGAAAAAACCAAAATTTTGATACTGGCATATACTCTCCCTTTCTTTAAACATTCAATTACTTCAAGTGGCATGAAAAACGATTTTTTTTAAAACTTTCTTTGTAAAAACTCCCTCCAGTAAAAATCTACCAAGTGAATGCAAGACTTGCAAGAGTCTTGGTGCAAGACCAAGACAAAGACCGAGACCAAGACTGGACCCTGCAAGACCAAGACCACTTATTAGACTGCAAGACCAAGACCAAGACCGCATATGCAAGATGGTTTTGGTCTTGCATTTGCTCATCACTATATCTAACTATCTGTCTCCCTCCAGACAAATAGTTTTGAAGCTACAATAGAAGAGGGCATCATCTCCAAGTAGTCCAAGTACTTCAAGTTAGTAGCCCTTTGCTCTGTAGATTACTTTGTTACTTAAGTGGAATAAAACCACTAGGTTCTGTTGGATTAATACCGATTTATTCAACAAAAAAATTAACATCTATTTAGGTATGTATTTCAACTTGATACTGAGTTTATGAGAAGTGACCCTCAGGTCCGAGTCTTCTGTCTGTCTGAACACCCCAAATATTAGTCTCTTGTGAAATAGAGTAAAACAAAAAATCTGAAATAATTCTGACTCCTATAGGAAAATTAACACATGAGACTATCTTAGGCCCGAATTATCCACCTTCTGATAAACTGGTAATGCAATCTGACGGATCAAAACAAAATCTATAATCCTATTGGTCAGTTATCATTTATCCGGCCGACCAATAGGATTATAAATTGGTACATTTTTTTTCTCCACAGTTAGCAGCAAGTTTGTCAGAAGATGAATAAAACGGGCCTATGTAGGGTAGGTATGAATATGTATCAAAATTAAAATAAAAAAATACCATTAAATCCCTAAAGTTTTAGCTTTTCTAATGAAGAGTGTGTTTTTTACATAGTTGGGGATAAATAAATAAGTCCTACAGATTTAGCTTCATACTTTATTGTATTCAGTTGTCCATATGGAAAAGTACAAATATTGCATAGCACAGCACTAGCTGTGATGAACAAAATCATCAACTGAAAGTTGGCTTGAATAAATTGATTTGACGAAAGACAGAAAAGCTCTTGAATTCAAACTCAACTCCGCTAGTGCTAGTGCATTTACTATAGTAACTTACAGTCCGTTTTCAGATGTAATCGACATTCTAGTTTTGAAATGTTTGAAAAAATGCTAGATCGACTTTTACAATACATTCCGAAACCGAACAATATTCAGCTCATCAATACCAAATAAAAATTCAAACCCAATTTGAACAAATCCATAACATTGCACCGTTTGTTCTTTTAGTAAAGGCCCACTCTTTTTCTCTACTACACTAATCGACGCAACTAATACTATAAACGTTTGATACAATAATAAATAGGTGTACTTGATACAGTAAGTAACCATTAATCACAATAAATACACACAAATGCAGCTTAGTGTAACAATGGACAGTAAGCAAGAAAGGACAACGAACAGGAATACATAAACGCTAAAATAACGCATATATTATACTAAAGAAACGCAATTAAAATTAAGACTTTTCTTATATTTACAACCCGTCTCAGTAGCTCCAGTATTTACTTCGTTTCAAAGAAGTAAAAATGTAGAGCCGACCCGACTCGAAGGTTGCGACATATTCGACGTACAGGCCGAAAGAGTGGTCACATGGTGTAGCTTAGTAACTAGCACATTGAATAAATTTATTAGGTAGATTATAAGTAATTAATGTTAATAATAAATATTTACCAGTAATGAGTGAATCAGTTCAGTTCCATTAGCGGGGTTTTATATATTATTACTGCACCGGTCTGGACCCTTCGAGGTCGCAGTCGAATAGCCCTAATTTTCAGATAGTCAAAATGTCGCACACCGGTCAATTTAATTTCTATACAGCTTATCGACACCGACAATGTAAAAGTGTATCGATCAACTCGTTTTCTACTTTTTGACATTTCATGAAAAGTTTAAAAAACCTATTATATTTTTATAAAATTTTAAAATCGTAAGTACTTTCCTAGGGTGTGCCTTAATAATTATTATGTATTCTGGTCAATGTGTATATACACGCATACAGATTTTGTAAAGTTGGCGCTTTTTACATAAAAAGTTTCAAAATTGCATTAAATATCATTGTACAAAATACTTTTCATGAATTGCTACTTTTCTGCAAAAGTATTGAGGATAAACAGCGTTGACAAATAGTGTCAAATTGCTTCTTTATACCTCTTACTTTGAGATACAACCGCGATAATTTTGGCTTCAATAAATTTTAGTTAACCCTATTAAGTATACAATTTAAATTTAATTTTCAACAATCCTTATACGAGCTTGAAGAATCTTTAACAACTTTTATTTAATTTCAGGAATTTGACACTACGATAAGATCAGTAATTCGTTATGGTCTTTAACTATTTTGATATAAGCCTAATGTACAGACGCCACACAAATTTTAAGTAACGCAACATAGGAATCCAGAGGCCTATTATCGCTAAGTTCTTGTTCAATTCTCTATTCAGATACGTACATGATTGTCACTCTCGAAACGATCTGATATACCCGAAACCTATTGCAATATGTACAAGGACTGAATGTTACTTTTTCGAGTATTCTAAAAATTATTGAGTGGACCCTTTTCACACCTCTTCGATTATTGTTCACAGGTACCTAACCATAGGCAATGCGCCAACGGATTCATCAGTTCAGTTCATTATGTATAAAGTCGCATAAGAAACATGATGACGCTGGACAACCCACAAAACTGGATTTATCAGTGAATTTGACTTGTGTTGAGGTATTTTGATGTTCTTAGTCCTTATTGTTTTGTACTGTATCATGTTTACTAGTTTATTATTGCTTAGTTAAAAGATATGTTTAGTAACCATAGGGCTTGCAAGGGCATTAGGAATTCTTGATAATCGCCGCTACAATATGAAAAAAAAAAACACGATGATATAATGCTGAATTTGAAAGGAACCATGGAAATGAAAAAAACATGGAACACAGTCAACAGAATATTGCACAACAAAGAGCGGGCAGTGCAGGTGAAATGATAATATTATGCTAACGGATACTGTTGAAATTTCAAACGCATTTTATGAGTCTTGCACCCCTCTGCCACCCCCCCCCCCTGGCTACGCCACTGCTCTCTCTGCAAAGTGCTACAATACCTGACAAGTTGGAGATAGCTAGAGTTTAGCCTCTCTGAAAAAAGGGGACTATGAGCTGCCTTCCAATTATCGTTTGTAAATAAGAGACTTCAATCTTTTCTGGATAATTTTCGGTTTTTAAATCCCTTGAGAACTCCCAAAAAAAAAGCCATCAAACATGTTTTTAAACTTCCCTTGTGATACCATACTGAGAACCTGTATGAAATTTATAAATCTTTAATATTACCCACAATGTATATTTTTTACATAGTCAGAAAGGAGAAAGTTGGATGTTAGTAGCAATAATTATTTATGTATACATACAGTGGCGTACCTCGGAAAAAGTTTTGGGAGGGCAAGGAAGTCCAGCCCGGTAAAGCCAGAAAATTTTGGGGGTGCCACGCCCAATTTTTACCAAAAAGTCGTTTAAATCGTTAAAAGAACAAGGATTCGGCATCCTCTCAAATGGCTAATGGGATATTATTAATCAAAAATTAAATTTTGTTTTCCTCCATTTGTTTTTGCGTTCTTTCTCAAGCCTTTTGGAGGGGAGGGCAAATGGCCCCTTAGAAAATGTTTCCCCAGCAACATCGCAAATTTCGATAAAGCGTTCCATCAAGCTTCAAACTGCTAGAGAAATCTTGAAATAGATTTCAATTTGATTAGAATCAAAATACATACTTTTTTGCTTGGTTCCGAAGTGGGGCAGCAGGGTCAGAGGAGATATTTACCTAAACCCCTGTGAGCATTGAGTCAAAGGAATGTATAGTGTATTTCGTATTACAATTAAACTCATGTGAAATGGCTGTTGCTGAAGATGAAATCCATATGAATAAGTGGAGCATAAAATGTTGTATCACAAGTAGGTATTACTGAATCTTTATAGGTACCCAAAGGAGACTTACAAATTTTCTAGCTAACAGCTCTCGTCAGTCACCCTCAGGGCATAACCATTCATTTTGTACCCACCCAGGACACCCATAATACATAGCTAACTGATTAGGCTTCTATGCTTCACTCATTTTAGCAGTGGAACTAAGGGCAAATTTTTATAATCACTAGCCTGATCCATCCAGCACTGCATTCTTGTTCAATTTAAAAAAAAAAATCACAATGGCAACATCGCTTGATAAATCTCATAATTAGATACCTCAACTACGTGTATTGTCGTGTATTAACAGATTGGGATTGGAAAGATATTTAATTGCAATTATACCAATGCGATACTTAAATGATGATATTTTGGTGTCTATAGTTTCCAAAATACCCAAAAAAGTAACATCCACAGTTCTATCAACGCACCGCACATCAAGGATACAAACAAAGGGTATCCGGACGAACGTCGCGATCGATTTCTCGGAAAATAATCTTTGGAAAGTTGTGAAAATTTGGCAACATAGCCATCTCGAGGCCATCCCGGTGAAATATTTTTATTATTTTATTAGGTATAACATACATATCTTTGGCTGTAGTTATTCCGACACGGCTCTCAGACACTAACCGAGGAGGAATAAGACTTGAAAATACTAATTGCGATTTTGGCGGAACGTCGGCGTCGTTAAGAACCGAACGTTTCTCAACAACACTCGGTGGAGATGCATCGGATGTAGAGTAAAAATCAAACGAGAAGAAGCCACACGCGTTATAGTTTGTCTCACTTTAAATAGGAGGGACCTAGAGAAAAGGAAATCTGCCTTCTTTGTCAGCGATGACGTCAATAGCTTCTTCTCGTTTGATTTTTACTCTACAACCGGAATAACAACCAAACATACACCACCATCCGTGAGTGTCCTATTTAAAATAGGCAAGTTGACATCAACTTCCGGTAGGTATATACGGAAGTTCGGCAATCTCGAAAAAATTTCGCCTAAATAGCCTCCATCGATATTGCTATGTTGCCATATTTTCCAAAGTTTATTTTCCGAGAAATCAACCGTTACAGTTTATCGTGGAAGACCCAGTTCATGCATAAAAACTTGGCTTACATCCTTATCGTAATTTTTGATTTTCTGGCAATCAATTCTCTATCAAAATGAGACTGAATTACTGATCCGCGATAATATAAAAATAACATACATGGGACTATCGGGTGCAGAACCCTAAGAGTCAAAAATCGGCGTTTTGGTTGATATGTCAATCACCCCCTTATATTTTGTTTCCGCTGTAACTTTTAGCAGACTTTTTAAAGCTGGATTTGTCAAATGACAGGTTTTGTTCGTTTTTAGCGGTTTTAGGAGGGAAACAGGAAAAATCTGCGTTGTGAACGCCGAATATCCTGTAAATATTTTCTGGTTCTTTTTCACTAATGCCTTTTGCATTTCAAATCTAATCAAATTTAAATAAAAATCCGAAATTTTTCAAATTATATTATTGTGATTAATTTGGGTTAGTTGAGTGTATTATAATTTTGCTGAGTTGTTCAGACATTATACAAACAAATCTGGAGAAAATGAAAAATGAGATGCATCGTTTGCTGTAGGTATGATTTTTTTTTGACAGAAATAAGAAATAAAACATAAAGGTCCTTTGCAAACATTGAATTATTAATAATTGATGATATTACTATAGAGTCAAAGCCATGTATTAAAAAAATAATTACGTCGTCTGTAGTTAAATTGTAGCTCACAGGAGCACTTGTCTGAACTCTTCAATTTTGTGAAAATCAATTGTTATATTTATTAAATAATTGTATGCAATATCTGTTTAAATTTGACACATAATTTCGTAGTATCAAGATACAGGTACCTAGTATTTTTTATATTTGAAACAAAGACAGGGTTTGATGATTGTGTGTGCTGTCAAAAATAAATTGAGGGATAGTCATTATTTTGTTATGGGGTAATACCTATGAGAGTAAAATGACATTTGGGAAAAAGAATCAAAAAGAGATCAATGATACCTCGCTTCTTAAAACTACTAAAACTATTCTTTCTTATAATAAGTTATTGCATGAATTACAGTTATGAGGTACTGTATTTCCTAATAATAAAACTTCTGTACATTTTAAAACTTTGCATTCGTATCATTCATAATAATAACCACAATTTTATCAAAACAGATAGAATATAGGCATGAGTAGGTATATAATAATTTATGTAAATATCAATAGGTGGTTTCTTTTTTAAAATGGAATGTTTCTTGTCACAACAATGTTTTGAGCTATGACCCCCGACATAGTCAGGAGCCAGGCCGGTTCTCCTCTAAACAAAACCGGCCCAGAGCGGGAAGGTCCATCTGCTTTTAATGAATTGTATGAGACCCCCGCTCACAACACAACTGCTACACATAGATAAATTAAACAATAGGAATATATATATAAATACTATAATACACTTATGCTAGAGAAATTCTACACGACACAAAAAGGTACCTTATGCAGAAATAGATAAGACTTGTGTCGCAATATAACGAGACAAAATCTTCAAACATATTCAATATTCAACCAGTAATAATGAAAACCGTTAAGTAAAGTTATGTTGGCAAACGCTATAGTAAATTACAGGCTGAAAATTTCAAATAAGCAATTGCCGGCAGACATTGTATTTCTAATAAGTATCATGGAAATATGTCGTTGTTCTGTAAATGGAATTAGTCTACACGAGTTTCGATTTTAGGCCTGAGTAACCAATATTCACCTACTAAGTCCTAAGTCACTAGTTTGTGCTCTGAACACTGAATTATTATTTATTTATTTTAATTGCCTTCATACGTACAGTAATTTCACCAGTTTGTTTATGACATGAAAGAAGCTAACTTTTCATTAAAATTTCACTCAATTTAATCATCAACGCATTTTTAGCAATACTTTATGGAACACATGAATATAATACGTATGAATATTTAGGTTAATATGTACAATATTGCCTTTAGCTTGAGCCTCTGACACTTGATTTGATAAATTACTCTAATGAATTCTTGTAAAAATGCAGTCAACGAAAAAAACTTGAGCAAACATATTTCACTTGATAAGTTAATAAATTTTATTCACTGACATTCCTTACCTACATGTATAATTAAATAACTATCTCGACCCATCACAGCCATTTTTAAATCCTATCCAAACCTCTCAACTAATTTTATTCTATTAGTATTTTTTGCTCGCTTTTATCATGCCATACAAAAAAAGTATAGTGAAATTTTATGCAAGTGAAATATAGCCAATTCTTTTTATACCCATATTTTCGCTTGTTGAAAAATCATACTAGTAGATAATAAAAAAAATGAGCTGATAAAGTCCAAAACGATTTTTTATGAGATTTTCTTCATCCAAAGAAGAATTACTTGCATTTATTTGAAGTTGAAATTTGATGTCTGATGTTCAACATATTTTACTTAAATCTGTAAGTAATTTTTAACAATTAAATTTCTTACAAGTATTTGATAGCTCACAGGACCAACACCCATAAATGGACAATATGCCGAAAACCAAATTCTTTCTCAAAGAAATAGGAGTTCAAATCTCTAAAAAAACTGACTTCTTGGTATAATGTTTAAAAAATAAGCAAGCTCCAATCATATTCCTTCATCCTAATCCAGAATCTAACGCAAATAATTCTCAAGAATATTTTACAAATTTGTTTAAAAAGGGTTTGTGAATTCTCCCAAAAATTCTAAAACCCTTTTTCCATTGCCAGCCAGCCTTTATTTCTGGAAAATGCCAGCGGTGAAATAACTGTACGTCATCTAAAAGAATGAGGCAGATATTGTATATTAATATAATATTTATCTGCCTTTTTCGGGGGAGCTAGGGATTTCTAGTCTTGGTGCCAAGGCAAATCCATTTCGAAAGGGATTGCTTTATTTTTCGCTAGACCTGGGCTTAACAGTGAATTAGTACATTACAAAATAACATTTTCTTCATTAAGTTCTATATAATAATTTTATTTTGATTTTTTCTAAACTTTATTTATTTTGTTTAAATACTGTTGAATTTATTAATTTTTCTTTATTACTAGACCGCTTGTGATTATCATATTTATACATATTTGTTAACATATAATTATTATGCACCAGTATAATTAACAATTTATTTTCTAAATTCCACATATAACACGGAAATTGTAAGTATATGTGCTTAATATAATACTTTTAAGTTACCATGGCATATCACATTTAGATATGGTCCTTTGATAAAAATAGTGTGCACTGCACTAGCTCATTGCATTGGAAAGGTTTTAAACTATTTTATTGCATCAATAATTCCATTGCGATTGAAAAAAAGAAACGATATTAAATTTACCCAATAATTCAAAAGACCTTGTTAATTTAGGAATATTAAGTTTTCATTCCATTACCTGAATAAAATGGAATCTTGAACCCTTTCAGACGAAAACTAATCTTATATGAATAGTTCCGATCAAGAAATCATACATAAAATTCACATCTTATTTACATTGAAAGCGCTGCAAAATGTTTTAAGAATCCATGTTTGAAGCGCCTACCGACTAGGTATCATCGGAAAGGTATTTTGCATAGCTTTCACTTGATCATTATCGATACATCAACAGTTTTGGATTGTATTGTTGCTTATTGGTTCGGTTATAATTTAAGCCGCTCTCCAGACATACAAATGACTCAGATTTTCTTCTGTGGATAGATGAAAATATGTACAATGATCACATGTTTTTATCACATGTTTAATTTTAAATCTAATTTGATTTTTAGACAGGGTCTTCCTAACTCAAGCATTTTTAAACTTTTCGAAACCCAAACCAGTTGTGAAGATTTTCTATGTCTTTAAAAAGCCACATTGCATTTTATTTGAACAGACATTACCTTTTTGCCAACATTTATTGCGTAAAATAACGAAGTGTGATTATCATATTAAGTTATTAATCTGTAGAGCAGAGTTTTACGTTATTAACAGCGAAATCTCCTTATTTGCTTTACAAATCGTTTATTTACTAAATACGATCATCATCTATGCAAGTCTGTTCGATATAGATAAAAACTGATAAACCCAGGCCTAATTTGTAGCGTTTTCAGCTTAATATCACAAGCGGGGGTTGTCAACTTTTAGATTTAAGCTACAAAATTGGAAATTAGTGTGCCTATCCTATTTTCAGGCAGTCTAAAAAACTCTAGATTTTATCAAGCGTCATCATACTTCATTCAAATTCTGTTTGAATACACTTAGGAAAGATTTATTTTTAAAATGTAATCACAGTCATTTTGAGTGTAGTATATGTCTTAACGCAGCGAGGCATGGTTATACTTTAACAGTGATTCTGTTTTTTTAATTAATTTTTAGGCTAATAGTTATAAATATAACAGATTGGATAACGATCTTTCAGTGTTTTATAAACTATTGCTATTATGATTTTGATGCAATTTTTAAAATTATCTTATTTAGCAGTTTTCCAATAAGTTTCATAAGAATCATAAGCCCTAAGATTGATAAAAATGTTTAAAAAAAATTAAATAACTAGGATCCTATAATGTTTAACTGTAAAAATATAACCAAAATTAGCCTGCCCAAAGCATAGGAATGAAAAATTATATAAAGTTAACAATAAAAATGTATGCTCCCGCGAACACTGTTTTGTTTAAAACTATCAAGACTTTCCTAAATTGTACTTATTTGCCTATAATTCGCTTTGTTCGAGTTTCAACACATAAATTTTCTATGTATGTACAATTTCGTAAATCTGGGCTGATTATAATGATGCTGTGCGTCTACGCCATTATCAGCCAGCCGCCAGTGATAACAAAAGGTAACCCAAACTTGAACTACTTTTGGAGCCTAGTTAATTTTGTGTTAATGCAAAAACAATTATTGCTGCATGCAGGTAGTTCAAATTGGGGTGGATTACACAAAACTTGTTTTAAACTAAAGAGAACATTACATGTTTGTTTTTTCGAGAAAATCTTTCAGTCTGTCACAAGGCGTAAATTATGAAAATGTATTTACACAGTTTTGGTGATATTCGCTTATATATCGGGTATTTAAATAATTTACAAAAATAAAGTGTTAAGTGGAAGTGGCTGGTTAGTCCATGAGTGGTTTAAACCTTCTCTCTGGCCAAAAGTGGCACAGATTTTAGAGGTGCAGTTGTGCAATGCGTAAAAATATGTGTTTTCCTCCATCGACGTCAGCTAAGACTGAGAGACACAACTGGGAAGAAAAAAACAAAAGAAAGGCGAAAATTATAAATAAACTTTAATCTGTATTCTGGGGAAAAAAAAAATAAACCAAGAAAATAAAATCAAAAATAGCTATAAATGAAAAACTAAACTAGGCAATAAATTATATAAATAATAAATAAAAGACAGATTCACTGGGATATACTATTATAAAAAAAAAAATAAAAAATGAATTGATTGAGTCGATACTCAGTTCACAATTGACATTGAAACCCAGGGTTGGAAAAAGTTAAATTAATTTTTACTAGAATCTCATATTAATCAACACTCATGCTTCGCTGCACTGTACCTCTATCACTCTTACAAAGCCACAGTGTAGCGGAACATGTTAGTAGTGTAAAAATCGAGTAAAAATTTATTTGACTTTTTCCAACCATGTATTTCAAAATTGAGAACCAAAAGAAAAAACTAAATAGTTTGTTGTGGCCTCGCCAAAGCATTGCCGTCGTTAATTTGATGGCGTTTAAGCAAAACCACGCAGTTTTAGAAAAGAAAAGCTGTCTTCAAAATTAATAGTCACGTCAAAATAAACACAACACACAAGAAAAATAGGACAGAGAGTCGCTAGGTTAATTAAACAGAGTAAGTATATTATATTTTTTTCAAATGTACGTACTCATAAATAAATAATCAGCTACTAGCTATCCTAGAGAGAAAAAGCTGCCCTAAGCGAAAAGGGCAATCACCATAATTTGTTACTTACAAGTCAGTCAGCGCTTGCGCGATACTAGAACTAGTAAAACTATCCTATCATAAAAATAGATGTCGCCCTTAACGCTGTAGGCTGCTTCAAAACACAAATTAGCTAACGAATACAAAAGACAAAACTGACCACTGAATCACTTCTACATGGTCAATGCAGAGATTTTTTTGAAATTTTATTCCAGCGACTGTTTTAAAAATCTAAAGGAAAGTAGGCATTCTTGGCATTCATAGCGAGGGTTCAAATGTCTAAAAATGGCGGCGAGAACAACAGGAAAATGAGGATTTGTTAAGCTATGACCAATACTCTTGGTAGAAAACATTTACAGGTAATAAAAAATTATTTTGAGAGTCTAATTCAAACAAGGAGACGACAAAGACATCATCGCATGAAAGCCTACATGTCAGCGAAGACTGACCCCCTTATATCTTAGAACTGATGTCCTCACTGATCTCTTTCCCCTTCGATTTGTGCTCTAGCCTTTTCAATAGAGGACGGAAAATTTTATATTTTAAAAATTCTATATAAGTACTTATAGGAATTAATAATATATTATAGACTTTAATTTACATCAGGGATATTTGAAAATTTGTGCTTTTTGAAATTTCCTGATTTTAAATTACTTATATTTGTCAATACAATTTTCAATGATAAAATTATCAATCAGAGTTTAGTAAGACTTCCAGCGTCTTAAATTTATCACATTTTGACAATTACATAGTTATATAATATTAAACTGTTAATTAGGGGAAAAAGCACATAGTACATTTGAACATATTGCTAACTGAGCATTAAACTATCAGGGACGTAAACAGGTACAATGCAGAAATATGTGCTGGTACAATAATTGCCATAAATTTAAAGACAAATATTGTTATTAACCCAAAGGTATTTTCCTTCAATTTAAAAAAAAGTTTCTACTGCCTTATGTTCACAGCATGTGTAACTTTGGCATCGTTTCATTTTCGACGTATATTCGAGACAAATAAATCCTCATATTTTGAGTTGTTTAGTGATTTCCGTGGCCAATTTCCGAGACTAGTTTGATGAAACACAAATAATCACTACAATAGAATACATAAATTAGATACTATAAGTAGATACATTAAAATTAAATCAATTGATCAATAGAAGAATTTTTAAATTAATAAATACTATTTCATAAACAATAGCGTATGAATCGCGATGTGTTTCTTACATACACGGTGATGGCACAATTAATACATTTACTAATTATTAAACATCGTACCGTTCAATTAATACATATATAAGAAAAGGCGAATGCACTTCTGACTAGCTTCGTATTTTAAGTACTAGAATAAATGTTAGAGGGACGCACCAGGCGCCCCTCTGGAACCGCATACCCTTCGGCGCATTCCGCCCGAATTGCCTAAAAACCAGGGACCTGAAGTAGGTCCCCAGAACAATAATAAATAATTAATAAGTTAAAATGGCGGAACGTGTCTGACAAGGGTCCTGATGCGATGGTATCTAAGACGAATCGTCACTTCATGTCGTTTTACTCTTATTTGTTTTGAAGCTGACCTGAAGTACCCGATTACCCAACGTGTAACCATTCAATGATTGAATGGCTACTACAGCCTCATCGTAGTTGGTCATTGTCACAAATCCAAATCCTTTACATTTGTTAGTTTGTAAGTCACGAATGACTTTAACGCTTTGTACAGCTCCAAACGGACCGAATAACTGCCAGAGAACGTTTTCCTCGGTTTCAGGCGCCAAGTTGTATACAAAAATACACCAACCAGATCCATTCATTGCATTTCCAGGCAACATGGAATTTGCTAATAGATCTCCAGCTAATGGAGAATATCTGAAACAAAACAACAATCCAAATTCTAGAAAAATTCTTGATTTTATTCTTGCTTAATATGTAGATACAATGAACGACCACAATCTAAAATAACTGGGGTATTGCTTTTCTTGGAATTCAGAGTAACCCAATAAGTAGTTAATTAATGTACCTATTAGAAAAGTGAGTCAGTCTATGGAACTACTTCCCTTCCCATTTCCCCGATAGCATCTTATTAGTGGTACATAGCAGATAAAATTGGATGGAATTTTTAATTCAGCGAGAGCCTGCACGGCACATAACACTGGATATTTTTTGGGGGAACTAAATCGTAAAAAACAAATCTTCCCGTTAGTGGTTGCATGTATGAACCATATATTATGTGCCTTCTTCATCTCTGAATAATTTACATAAATATATATACATCTCAAAGAATATACCAACATTTATACAACGAACTAAGAGGAAAAAAAATGGCGGATGTAAAAACCCTGATTTTTGAAAAGTTATTTGGGAAAATTTTGGTGCTAGCTAATACGTAGTTTTGTTCTCAGGGAAGATCCCTATGAGCATCACCTACCTAAACACCATTACCATCAACCACCTCAGTTCAGTCACTTCTAGCATGTATTTAAAATCGATAAAGGAATATTCCTCTGACGTTAATTTTGAGCAACAAAATTAAAAGTAGATACTTTCTGAACCTCAAAAAACTCAATTATCAGAATTTACCACAACATCTCGTCAAAATGAGTATCAATTTGCATCATACTGATATTTTTGTCAGCTTTTCCCTAGAAAAAAAGCGTACCTTGGAAGAATCGACAAATATGATCTGACATCTGAAGTTGTAAACATTTTGAGAAAATATAAATAAAAAGTTTTTGCTGAATTTCTGCTTAAGCTAGAAAAAATATCTAGAAAATGCGAAAGAAGAAAATACTGAATAGAATGGACAGTTTCTAGGAGAATATTGCCTATGAGCGTCTTGGATTATTGAATAGCTTCTTAAATAGCCAATAAAATGGGTTTAGACGCTCATGCAATTTGCGACAATGGACTTGTGCTGTGCAAGCCAATTTGCACAACAACAAGCATGTGAATGAAAGCACGAGGCTTGCGCTATCCAAATAGTTTGGTTTGAATAACATACAAACGACTTTTTTTTCTTAATTCTTCATCATTCATCAATATCCATTTTCTTTATTTTCTATGGTATCTATTAATTTCATAAGAAAAACCAACACTGCAAATGCACATACTGTGCAAATTAGATTTTAGACAGAATCAAAGCTCAGTTATTTTATTCAAACTTGCGTGCACAGATCAGCTGGCGAGAAGGGCGTCTAAAACCACCTAGATGAAAGAACTATTCAATATTTGGTGTTCATCATACCCAAGTTTATCATACTATCAAAAGTTAATCCTTATTAGAGAAAGAGATGTTGATATCTATGGAACCTAAAGTTCAGATCACATTAGGTCTCCTGAAACGAATGATTTTTCTAAGAAATAATTAATCTAGAAGCAATGATTGAGACATTATTGAACAAATAAGATATGGATGAACTTGTTTTATTTTCTCGAAAAATATAGGTAGATTTTTAATTGCAAGGGAGCGTATTACACGTACGCTTTACATAGCTTCTTGTTCCCTCTTATCCTTCAAAGCACAGACGAAAAAAAAAAAAAAACATCAACATACAAGAAGTTTGTTATTTTTCCTCTAAAAATGGCAAAATCACTCTCACAAAACAAGTTTAAACAGACTTCAGATAATAAATAATTTTATAAATTATTGTTTCCTGTGGTATGGCGAAATTCGAGAGAAACCCTACATATCTAGAAAATCCATATACTTATGTACAGGGTGGGCCAATTTGGACACTTTTAATAGGAAACGTCAATGGGCTCTTTCACTAAAATTTAAATACGTAATTTAAGTACAAAATCCCAAAGGAGGGACTATTTTAGGCATATTTTACCAAAAAAAAAATTCTACAAGGTTAAATAAGTTTTTACAGGCATTTGAAACTGGCGAAATTCAAAATCATTTAAAACGCGTCGATTTGCTGACGTCACATAAATATTTTCCATTTCCCTCATGTTGTTTGTTGCAAGAAGCTGACCGGCTCGGCTGTGTTGCGCTTTGTAAAAGCACAACAAGGTTCGAATGCGCTGTTGTCGGTTGTGACTAAATGTAGTGCAACGTAAAAAAAATAAATAAAACTAAACATAAAAAATTGTATTAAATTGTGTTTAAGCATAATTTAAAAAAAAAATGTTATGAAATCTTGAATCCATAATTAATTAATTGAACTACTTTTCATGATATTTTTCCAACATTTCAGAATTAAATCTATTACAAATTTTCAATGTTGACAATTAGTGGCAACACGGTCAAATTGCGAGCTACGACGTCATAGAAATAAATTCTGGGTTTTTATTTGGAGGTATTTCTTATTTTTCTGTTTTCTCAAGAAGGACTATGAATTTTTCAAAAGTAAAAATACAGAAAATTCTGTTTTAAGTTGCTTTATCCAAATATGCCAATTTCAAAAATTAGTGAAAGAGCCCATTTCTGAGCGAGATACAAAAAAACTGAACCCCCACTCTGAGGCTCAAATTTCATAAAATCTTGATTGGTGCAAACCGCATTTTTATATCTTCAACCGTTTAGCCGCTAGAGGGCGATTCTCGATTTTGAGCAATACTGTGAAACCTTCATAACTTTTTTGTTGAAGCACTTTTTTTAGCAGAATTCAGTGACGCTCTCAGTTTTTTTCTAACTGGCTCCGATTTCGAGATATTGAGCAGAATCCGATTTTTTCAATAGAACACCCTATATATTAATTGTTTATTGGAAAACTCTGCTTTTGCTGATTTCAAAGATATAAAATTCGATAGGTTTATCTCCAACGGTCTCCGAGAAAAAATTATTTCGATTTTTGTCAAAAGAAACAATGTGTTGGTCTCTTTCTAACACATTGTTTCTTATAACAAAAACAGAAATAATTTATTTTCTCGAAAACTGTTATGGATAAACCTATTGAACTTTATATCACTGAAATCGGCAAAAGCAGATCTTTCCAATAAACTAATATTATATAGGGTGTTCTATTGAAAAAAAATCGGATTTTGGTAAATATCTCGAAATCGGAGCCAATTAGAGAAAAATTGAGAACGTCACTAAATTCTGCTTAAAAAAGTGCTTCTAGAAAGTCTTTAGGGAAATAAATTATTTTCATAAACAAAAAAGTTATGAAGGTTTCACAGTATTGCTCAAAATCGTGAATCGCCCTATAGCGGCTAAACGGTTGAAGATATCAAAATGCGGTTTGCCCCAATCAAGATTTAATGAAATTTGAGCCTCAGAGTGGGGGGTTCAGTTTTTTCTATCTCTAAAAATAAAGGTGTTTTCATAAGAAAGTGTCCAATTTGGACCACCCTGTACAGGGTTTTCCCGTATATTTTTACACCCCACCTGCAGCCTTTATCTCAACAGGTAGATCATAGGTGTAAATACAAAAGTTGTCCAGTTTTAGCTAAATTTTTGAAATCCATCGTCAGAAACAAAAAATTAATTTCAGAAATTTGAAATTTTGCTTATTTCCAACTTTTTTCAAATGAAATGCCCTATATTTGATTCTATATTCTTGAAGAGCACAATTTTCCGATTCCAAAAATATATAGCTTGTTTATATTTGGTTGAGCTGTCTCGAACGTAAGTATTTGGATCTAAAAATTTCGAAAACACTATCAGAGAAGCCCAGTGCCTCTAATTTTACCTGCAGCTGCCAGCTTTACAGGTAGCTGCAAAATCTAAGGGAGTAGGATAGTATTTTCACAATTTTTAGAGCGAAATATGTTGGAGATGGCTTGACCAAATATAGAGAAACTGTATATTTTTCGACTCGGAAAATTGTGCTCTTCAAGAATGTAGAATCAAATATAGGGCATTCCATTTGAAAAAGGTTGAAAGTACGCAAAATTTAAAATCTCTGAAAATAAATTTCTGTTTCTGATGATGGATTCTAAAAATTTAGCTAAAACTACACAACTTTTGCATTTACACCTATCATCTACCTGTAAAGGAAAAGGCTGCAGGTGGGGTGCAAAAATATACGAGAAAACCCTGTACCTACCTATATACAGGGTGTATATTTTAAGTGATGCCACTATTGGTATATCCGAAACGGTAAGAGCTACAAGGTCGGTTTAATTAGAAAAAAGTTGCCTTTTTTGATGCCCATTCAAGACTCGTTTACAGTGTTGCCAATTTTTTTTTTAGTTTATGAAATACAGGGTGACACAATTTAAATTTGAAAGTTTTATAATTTATTTCGCTCTAGTCTACAACATGGCATCTTCAAATTTTTAATCCGACCTTTCGACATCGAGCTACCATCATCGACTTCATATTTTTTAAATACGGACCTGGATTTTTTATGTCATTTTTAGAAAGAGCCCTTTATTCCCTTTTTAACGATATACCTCTTAAGTATGATTCGCCGACGTTTCTGCTCAAAAAAGTGATCATCAGTGATTTTTACCAAAATAAATAATGAAATATTTTTAGACGTTTCTTAGAAATTTCATAAACTAAAAGGAATTTGGCAACACTGTAAACGAATCTCAAATAAGCATCAAAAAAGGCAATTTTTTTCTAATTTAACCGACGTTGTAGCTCTTACCGTTTCGGATATAGCAATAGTAGTATCACTTAAAATATAAACCCTATATATATATACATGTAACATAAGAAACTAGGATAGAGTGGAAATCGTTTTGTTCTATTTCAATCCGTTTAGATTCTACAGCCGTTCAAACTTGAAAGATGACAATTTTCAATTGTCAATACATATTTCTAATACAGTTGAAGATAGGTAAAATTCCAAAAAGAAATATGTCTTGGAATTCTCCGAAGAATTCAAAAGTGCCATTTGAAGAAATAAGGTTGATTGGAGCACCCTGCATAAAAAAAATTTTTTGAACAAATAACAAATTTCAAACAAAAGAACAAAATCGACGGGTCCGAGCGGTTTTTTCGGAAACGCCCTCATTTATTTTATATTGAATTAATTTTAAGTAAACTTTATGTACACACTGTGCAATTTAAGTTTAAAGCCCTCATATACTTTTTTCATTTCATGTCATCATAACATAAATTATGAACTAATATCAACACTGTTTCAACAAAGATCGAAAAGTTAGAGCTGAATTTTCTGATGGCATACATCACTTGATAGGTATATATTATAGTCTATATAGTGCCTAATAATAGTATAATAATTTTAAGGTGCAATACGATAATTTGTGAAGACCCCAATTTTTGCCTTGTCTCATTTGAGAAACGATAGACTATACCTACTTAATCAGCCATATGAATAAAGTATGTAGCAAATGCTTTTACTCTACCTCCATCTCTTTTTGCTGCATTAAAGCTGAATATGTTTATCTGAAAGAATTTAAGTAAAAGCATTTGCTTCTGTTCTATTCATTATGAGCCAATAATTCAGAAATTAAATATTCCACAAATTTATTGAGTTCTTGCTCGAACAAACCTTGGGTAAATCAACACTCTTACCTAAATCGACCAGTCGGATGATGAATTGGACCTGCGAACCTTCTTGTAGCTTGTGGCGTGAGGTAAGCAGCCAATGGTGGAATGGCTTTGTTGTTATTGCTAGGGTTGTTCGCAAATTTGACGGTGATGGGCTCAGTGGATCCTTTAGGGATGGTACCGTTTAGCTCCTGGATAGCTCGTTCAGCTTCCATACGTTGGTCAAATCTAATGAAGCCTACGCCTTTTGAAAGGCCTATTAACAAAAAGAACTGCTCTTTAGTACCTACTGGTAAAGATGTAGGTACTAACTACAGAAAAATAATGAAGGACTAGTTTGAATGGAAAAGGCATAAGCAACTTTTTGAACGTTTTCAATAGAACAAAATATGTTTATTCTTCAGTATATCATCCCTCATTATTTTAAGCAACTACAAATTCTGTGTTTTTTTGATCTACTAAACAGTTTGAGAAAACTGAAAACTGAATAAATTTAAAAAGCATTTAGTGTAATGAGTAAGTGATTATTTAGTAGACCAAAAATACCTAAATGTTTTGTCTCCAGTGTCTAGTGTAGTGATTGCTCTGCTCTTTATATACAAAATAAAATATAACGTAAACGAAAAATAACACAGTAAAATAAAAACAGCAACTGAAAATAGCATGCGCACGATGCAAACAAAATGGATCAGTGTTCGTCAATTCTGGGGCAGAGGGGTATGTTTAAAGTCTGGCTAGACGAACGTTGTTATCAGGTTCTTATTTACACAATCATTATTTAGTTTCTATATAGGTTTTTGAAAGCATTTGAAATAGTGCTGTTTTTCAATAGTATAGTTTATTTTACGCGGCCGAAACAGAACAACCAAAGTGGGTTGGTATTAGTGGTATGGTGTTCAATTAGTGTTAATGGTAGAAAGACAGGTACGTACCAGGCAAATTTTCTCCGGACCCCGAGACAAATTGACGTACTAGGGAAAAGAAGAAAAACGCAAAATGTAGGTAATAGTAAGACAACTGATTTTTTTAACGGCCTCATATAATCACAGTTCTGTATTTCAAACGTTATAGTAGCAAAATTTCTAAACAAAATTTTACATTTTTCACGATTAATAGTCGTAATTTGAAACAAAGGCCAGCTCGTGTGTTAAAAGGGTTTTTATTTCTGGTGTACGAATTACTGGCAAAACGCCCAAAATAAAATACAGATTCGCTACTATGGGTTAGATATACATTCCCGCGAGTAGCCGTTCTAAATAAAAATAATATAGGCCAAATTTCAACAGTAACTTGATGATAAAATCATAATGAATAAATCAAAGCTACAACATTCAAAACAATAACAAAAAATTAAATATTTACTGATTATAAAAAATAATCAATAAAAAGTATGTTAATGTATTTTGTATGTATGTTACTGTTATAGTGGCATATTCTACTTATGGGACAAATATTTTTGTTAAATCCTCTTCCGTTTGCGTCTAGCCTGAAATATGCTTAATTTCATTGAAATAGAGCTAATAACAATAATATTTGTATATCAATGAAATACACTTTAACAGAATTAATTAACTTTTAAGGTGAGTTTACACATGCATGGATTTAGTGGCGCTAATGGTCGCGCCAGTTCTATTTGCACGCAAGTAAAGGTTTACACTTTGCGTGAAAAACAGAAATAAGTGGCACGCCAGTTTCACTTTTAAAGTGCTTTTCTCAGTGTGCACTATGTCGAGTGAACTTTCCGAAGCCTGTGAAATAGTCGCTAAACTTTTAGGAAAAAAAAAAAAGATAAAAGAAATACAGAAAAAGAAACGCAACCAACGAAATGGCCGTTTCTGGGTTGAACCGTGGATTGGTCGTCGACCCACTTTAGCTGCTTCTGCAAAACTTCTAGCGGGCCGATTCTCGGGCCAGGGAGTAGAGCTCCCCGAGAGAACGGATGTTTTGTCCTTGTCAACGTTATCGAAAAGTAAACGAGAATGATAAAGATGAAAAATTTGTTCTCTCGGGGAGCTCTACTCCCTGAAACGAGAATCGGGATGTAGGAGAACTCGCAGCAACTGAAATGAAAATCAAACGAAAAACTGGCGAGCGGACGCCGGAGTGCAAGCACTTGTTTACACTTCCATTTTTTGATTTTCTGTACGAATTTGTCACCACTGGCGCCAGTGATTTCAGAAGGATGCAGACTTTTTTGGACTATCCATGCAAATATAAAATGTGTATGCAAGTCCATGTTTACACTTGCTAATAAAATTTACTGGCGCGCCAGTTTGTATTGGCGCCACTAAATCCATGCATGTGTAAACGCACCTTTTTCAGATTACTTTACTTGAGCCGACAATATATCTATTAAATAACAGAAGCTAAAAATTGTTCACAGACAATTACTTAGCTCTCGTATATTTTTTATAAATTGAAAAAATAAGAAAGATACTAGAGAATTTCTCGTTTGCCTACTTATGCCAAAAGCGATTAATTCGATAGATCTAGTCCTAAATGAACATTTTTCGACTCCTATAATAAACTAAATATGAAACACGGCATTTAAGTGTATAAACAAAAAAAAAAGTATAACAATTAGGTACATTAAAGATACCACTACAAAATTGCTTCAATAACTTGTAGGAAACTACAAAACCAACAACTAGAAATTATGCCTTTAATTACCAAATGTTCCAGATTATTGTAATAAGGACCATTGCAAAGGATACTTATTTTTATTTACATTGTCTGAATTTATTTTGAGACACGGGGTTTCGGTTGGTACTTGATCACTACTGACTGACAAGTGTGAATAATAAAAGGATAGAAAGGTTTTAAACATCCAAATTGAACTGAACTCCCAGATATAAGGCAGATAACCAATTGATCTGAATAAGGTTGTCCTTACTCCTTGTTACCTTAATACCTACCTATGGTACATAGTTTTTGAAATTTATAAGAGTCTAAACTAAAACGTATCAACTAATGTTTTTGCCAACAAAGGTTTTCAAATGTTGGTGGCTGGATTCCTATGCTAGGATAACTATGTAGATTTTGGTCATCACTAATTAATCCTGCTCCCTTGAATTTTCTTTGATCAATTGTGTCCATGTTGATTTTTTTTTCCAATCTATGGTCCCTTGTCGATTGACAACAGTTAGCCAGTGTCATTTGTATTTGTTTTGGACCACCAAACCTTAATTTGAGATAATCAACGGCAACGGCAGAATTTAATCCTTTTGTCAAGAAATCTTTTCCGCCTTTGGAGAGAATTTACTTGTCGGTAAGGAAATATTCACAAAGGTCATTTGGGTGTTGCTGGCTATTGTTTGTGGCATTAGAGTGGCTATTGTTTGTGGCGTTAGAGAGATGAAGGTTTCTTCTCGACATCAACTTGTCGACAAAACCATAGAGTGACATCAAATCAGATCTAGAATAACCAATCGTAAGGATACTAGGGAAAGCAGCCAAGTTTTGTGAATTACGTACCTTCGCGATGCTTTCCAAGCAATCAGACACAGCTGACAAATGTGTAAATTTGGAAAAACACTAAAAAGCCAACTTAAGAAAAAACTGGTCCTGAATGTTATTCCGAAACCACAAACTGAAGGTACCTACGAATACCTTGCGCATGTGGCAAAGCGTATATCGTTGAAAACCAAAAAGAAAAATGCGGAACACAAAAGATACACACAAAGAGGAGACGTAGATAAATCTGGAATAGTGGAGTATTTATTACTTATAGATGGCCACCTAAATTCCAGTAAATACAGGTCAATTAGCATCTAATTTCCAGGAAATTCAGGTCAGTTGGGCACCTCTTCCAGGAATTCAGTTCAATTTAGATATTGAAATCCTTGAAAACCTACTTATTCTTCACACTTGATAACAGTCAGTTATCCAGTACGGACCGAAACGTAGTGTCTTGAAATAAATTCAGACAACGAAAGTCCGGAATTGCTGTGAACTTTGATATAATTAACTAGAAAGAAGGGTGCTACCCTGAGTTTTTTGTTGGCTAAGCGTTATTCTACAAAATGGCAACTTTGGGCTTTTCAATCATACTTGCCACGTAAGAAAAAGCCGGAAGCCGACCACTTTGAAAAATTTTAAACCTCCTTGTCAACTCCTAAAAAAATGTTTGGGTATTGAGAATAATCTTATCTTTCTTTCGTCGCAAGGAAGTCAACGCGAAAAAATAGAAGATTCACAGAAAATTTGGACTTGCTATTAGTCTATTAATTGGCCTAATAGTCTATCCAGCGAATAACTTCGTGTCGTGTCGCTGAAAAAAATAATATAAAATATCCCTGCTGCTGCCAGAAAGAGAATAATGAACAATTTTCGATTTCTGGCAAGCGTGTAGTAGTTTTTTTGCCAATTTAGTCAGGTACCTAGTTTTCGTTAATGAGTGAACTTAATACATAGTTTATTTATAATAAAATTTCCCGACGCAAGAAAAAATTTAAATTCAGATAAATGTGAAAATTCGGAAAGAATTCACGTTTTTGATGAAAAGTACCTACAGGTAAACTTCCCAACAAAGCTTAATTGTTGCAATTAGTGGAGAATATTAGATTGATTATATGTATATATGTACACCTCCCAATTTTATGTAATATCTAAAAATTATTGAAAAAATGAAATAGAAGACACAAGGCCATTAGATCTGATAATAAAAAAGGTATACAATGTGGAACAATAATTACTCATTCTGCATACTAAGTATTTATTTAATAGGTTCTTGGCTCAAGTAAAATCTATGCTAATCTAATCTTAAAATTATAGAATAAAACTAAATCTTACCGGTGATATTATCGCAAAGTATGCGAGATGTAATTATCCTACCAAATGGACTAAATAATGCTTCTAAGTCTTGTTGGGTCATATTTTTAGGTAATCCCGATACATATAAATTGGCCCCTTTGATTGCTTCTGAACTCGGTCTTGCATATGAAACCTGTAATTAGGAAAAACTCGATTAGGAATATTTTCCTTCTCCAACAAACATATTATCACAACATTTATAGCAGGGTAAATATTATTTTCAATTCAACTACCATATCAAAAATTTGTTTCTAGCCTAGCAAGACATTCTCTCTCTCAACAATCAACAACGGAGGAGAGGAGGAAAAGAGAGAGAATCTCTCTCAACAACAACAACGGAGGAGGAGGAAAAGAGAGAGATCTCTCTCAACAACAACAACGGAGGAGGAGGGAAAAGAGAGAGATCTCTCTCAACAACAACAACGGAGGAGGAGGAAAAGAGAGAGATAGCAAAGTTGAAGGCCTTTCACTAGTTTGTGATTTTTGCAGAAACAGACTTTTCGAGGACCGAGGAAGCAAATAAACGAATATCTATATTTTCATGTTCATTTCAATGAGTATAGAATCAGTCAGCGCAAATAATTTTAAATAAGGTAAACTACAAAAATGGTTTGTTTTTCTTTCTGCCACCAAATATTAAAAAGTACATTTAGGAAAAGTGAGACATGGCTTTAACAACTATTTGCTTCCCTAAAAAAATTAATTTGTGAGCGAAAAAGGGACCTTTTGAATAGAGCCCTTAAATGTATAAACCTAAATTGAAGTTTAGTGTTTATTGTAAGAAGATTGAAATACTTGGGCGAGCGTTTCAAAATATTTGACATGTAACATGCTTAACGACATTGCGAATGTTATTTGAGATCGTTGCCAACACAAAAGGTGGTGTTAACAATGTATTCGGATCAAATATCTAGGATTTTCAGCGAGTAAAAGTTCTTTATTTAATTAGGGTGTGTGCTCGAGGTTGCAATTTAATTGGAATTTTTCTTTGCAATTGCTCTGACTAAAAAATAAACATGAAAAACTGAACAGAAAAACACACCAAACAGAAAAACAGTCCTTTTCCTGTTCCTAGAGTTAAAAGGCATTACAACACATAGAAAAAAACACATAAAATTAAAAAAGAAAAAATATAGAACTCTGATCGGGAGCTTGATTTGATTTCGTCTTCGATTGAATAGACCTATAAAGTCAAGATAGGTCTTCAATTCAAAAGTATTTAAAATAATATTAGCTTTGTTCGCGGAACCAACCCCAAGTGAATTCCAGAAGCAGATTTATTAGTTGGAACCTAAACCACGTCCACGTTCAAAATACCAAAGACAAATATGAACATGGAGTTCTATCGTGCATGTATTGCATATAGAAGAAAATGGCCAGTCTATATCTCTTTTTAGTACCTTTTGAACATTAGACCAGCGAGAAGCAAGAATTAAAGTGTTTAGGATAACCGAGAATCAAAATCAGTTGTGAACACAGATTATTTTTGTGAACAAAATAATCCTGTAAAAAATTACTCCAATAAATGTTGACGTTTGTTCCTGAACACAGCTATTACCAGATAATTTTTTTTTACTTATAAAAAATAATATTGTAAAAACATGCTCTAATTCTTGATGATATTTGAGGTTCCCAATCGGATTTCCAAGGGTGAAAATAACTTACCTTGATAGTTTTGTTTTGTAATCTTAGCCCATTAAGAGTATTGATAGCTTTTTCAGCGTCTTCAGGTCGATGGTAGTTCACGAATCCGTAGCCCAGTGATTGCCCTGTAAGCAACGGACTAGTGATAACCCCAGGAACTGTTGGAAATCCAATTTCGAAAAAATACGTGTTAATAACACAAAATAAACCCAAAAAAACTAAGTAAAATGAAACTTTAATAGCAAATAAGTTTAATTCAATGTTAGATAATAGCAAAATATGTATTTATAAAATAATAATTATTAGAAATATAATGATAATGAAGCGCCAATAGTCAGTTCATAATCCAGAACAAAAAAAAATCCTAATTTATAAATACATATTTGGGATGTTAGTAGCAATAATCAGAATTAAAAATTAATAATAAACTATTGTTACCAATTTTTTTGTTAGTGATGTTAATTTAGAAAGCCAAATAAACGGTAAAAATTAATATAAAACAATCATACATTTTTGTAAGTTTAAGTGAGTACATAATTAAAAACTACGAAAAGCGGTTACTACGAAAATAAAACTGAAATAAATATAGCAAATCATAAATGTCAGATTGCAAAGAATCGCTTCCTTTAATAAGCGGAGTGAAGGATTAGGGCTTCAACATCTAAACATCCCTACACTTATTCAATTATTTATTCTTCAAAATAAACATTGTGTAGTAGTGTCGCAATACGTTCGTTACATATGTAGATTTCCACAAAATTTCTAATATATTGTGTTAAACACTTATTAATTATTTCCACAAAGTACCCTTGGCATATTCAACACCGTATGCCTGATACATTCAAACATATTTTATTTGGCATAGGTAGGTATAGTATTATAAGTATCTCTGGTGATATAGGTAAGTAGACTAATGTCATTGTTTACAGCGATTTTGGACGCATAAACCTAAGGGCAAGAAACGAACTTTGCGCACGTGTTAGGAGCAATATTTTTTCTACTAGCGGTCACAAAAACCTTTGAATATTTCAATATCTATACTTTAATTTTAACTTAAAACAGAAAAAAAAAAACAAAATATGTACCCTTTTCGGCTAATTAATTTTTATTACCTAGTATAATTTAGGGTGCTTTTTTTCCAGATTTGACAAGTGACATTGACCTGAGAAATATGCTTCAAATCCAGAGAAAAAAGATTTCTTCGGGATGCTCCGATTGCTTTGAAATGTAAGGAACAACCGGGGCCCTTAGAAAAAAAACTTTTTTTATTCCGAAGGAAGCGTCCGGAAAGAAACGAACAAGAAAATTTTCATGAAGGAATGTAGCATAAATGAAATTCGGTATTGATGGTTATGGAAGCTTGAATGAAACAATGTTTACATTACATCGTTATTGTATATTATTTAGCTTTTTGGTTTGGTTGTTTTTACGTTTGGTGGCTTGGCTTGTGCAGTGTACCAAGCATTTTTGCAGTTTTGAATGTACCACTTAACCATTTTGTATATCAATTTTTATTACGATGGGAGACTTCACAGTGACTCGATAAACCTTTACAAACGAAAATTTTGCAATAACATGGCCGCCGCCTGTACAAACCAAATGGATGGCAGCCATGTAGGAATCTTCTGGTCGTGGCGCCATCTAAGACTAGAATACAGCACTAAACAACATTTTGCTGTATTAGTACTGATCGTCAATAGTCCGACCCAAAATCGGTTAGTTAGGGTAACCCGAGGGGGATTTCAGTAGTGGAACTGTGTACACTAAATTACCACTTCTGACAGAAATTACCACAAATTATCAGTAATTACCTCTAAATTACCACTTTTTTCCTCTATTACCTTTCATTGCCTCAGGAATTACCACTCAATGCCACTCAAATTACCACTTATTACCTCTTATTTCCGCTAAATACCACTAATTACCACTGTCAATACCACTAATTACCACTGTCATTACCATTAATTGCCACTGAAATTACCACTAAATACCAGGAATTTATTTCAATTTTCAAGTATACCCGAGACTAGAACTCAATAACAAATCGAGATGTTAAAAGAAGAGCAAATCAAGATGTTGAAAGTTGAAAAAACGAGATACTCAAGAAGGCATTCTAACATGTCTCGAAGAAAAAAGGATTCCAAAATCCTGCAAAAACTCAAGTTCCATCTTCTAGAAACTGGATAAAAATCATTTGCTTGATGAAGAACGAACAAATTATGTTAAAAGAAAAGCAAATCAAGATGTTGAAAGTTAAGAAAGGAGGAACACTCAAGGAGGCATTTCAACATGCCTCGAAGAAAAAAGGATTCCCAAATCCTGCAAAACTCAAGCTCCGTCATCTAGAATCTGGATAAAAATCATTTGATTGATGTTGAAGGAACAAATCGAGATGTTAGAAGAAAAGCAAATCAAGATGTTGAAAGTTTAAATAGACAGACACGCAAGGAGGCATTCCAACATGTTTCGAAGAAAAAATGTTTCCAAAATCCTGCAAAAACTCAAATTCCATCTTCAAGAAACCGGATAAAAATCATTTGATTGATGTGGAAGGAGCAAATCGAGATGTTTAGAGAAGAGCAAATCAAGATGTTGAAAGTTGAAAAAGAGAGACACTCGAGGAGGCATTCCATCATGTCTCGAAGAAAAAAGGATTCCAAAATCCTGCAAGGCAAAAACTAGAGTTTCAGCTTCTAGAAACTGGATAAAAATCATTTGATTTATGATGAAGGAACAAATCGCGATGTTAGAAGAAGAGCAAATCAAAATGTTCAAAGTTGAAAAAGAGAAACACACGAGGCATTTCAACATGTCTCGAAAAAAAAAGGATTCCAAAATCCTGGAAAACTCAAGTTCAATCTCCTAGAAACTAGATAAAATCATTTGATTGATGTTGAAGGAACAAATCGAGATATTAAAAGAAGAGCAAATCAAGATGTTGAAAATTGAAAAAGAGAGATACTCAAGGAGGTATTCCATCATGTCTCGAAGAAAAAAGGATTCCAAAATCCTGCAAAGCAAAAACTAAAGTTCTAGCTTCTAGAAACTGGATAAAAATTATTTGATTGATGATGAACGAACTAATCTAGATGTTGAAGGAAGAGCAAATTAAGATGTTGAAAGTTGAAAAAGAGAAACACTCAAGGAGGCACTTCAACATGTCTCGAAGAAAAAAGGATTCCAAAATCCTGCAAAACCTAGGTTCCATCTTCTAGAAACTGGATAAAAATCATTTGATTCATGCTAGAGGAACAAACCGAGTTCATCAGCGACTTTAGAACATTCCGACTCTATTTCGGATTCCATCTAGAATACGAAAATATGAAAAAATACGAAATTTCACACGCCTTTGCAGTTCCTCACACATATTTGCGTATTTGGCTCGGTATTTGGCATCCATCTACGATAGGTGAAAATCTTGAAAATTGAAACTATAAAGAAACAGAGAGACGGAAACACATAAACACCTAATATTTGTAGCTATTTGCCGAAGGTGTGATAGAGGCTTAAGGTATTATAATAATATAACAAGAATGTACTCTATCTATCATATTTACCTTTTTTTTTAGATTTGGAAACACTAAAACACAAAACTGGGCCTTAAATGAGACGAGGATTTGAAAGTTTTAAAATGAGCAGTAAAAACGACGTTCATAGATGATGTCAAGCCAAGTGTTGAACAATTGCAAGGTTGCCATTTCTCATGTAATGAAACCTCAAATGGAACATTCCTTAGAAAATGAAAGTTGTTGTTTCTAACTGACTAATAGGGTCTCAGAAGAATATTTTACCGAAATCTTAGTCGAATAGTTTACAGTTAAAGCTCTGTTACTTCTAAATTAAAGCAAATTCGACGGCCTATCATAATTTTATCACTACAGAACTTTGAGGTATTACCACAAAATTGCCTTCAATTACCCCCAAAATTGCCTTAAATTGCCTCAAATTACCAAAAATTACCCCGAATTACCACTATATTTCCACTAATTTCCACTAAATACCACTGTATTTCCCCTAATTTCCAGTCATTAACACTCATTTCCCGTGAAATTTCCACTAATTACCACGATTGTGTACACTAAATTACCACAATGAAATCCCCCTCGGGGTAACCCAAATAATATATACACAGAATGTGAAAATGTGGGTTAATTCTCCTCGTTTTTCCATCCACAGACGCGTTTTGATATATCAGAACTTATCAGTGTGGCTAGGAAAGCAGAGGAAACCAACCCACGTTTAGTGCCTGTTGGCAAAGTAGTTGTTTAGTGCTGTATTCTTAGATGGCGCCACGACCAAAAGTCTCCCATCGTACTATTTCTACTTTGCCTATAGGCAATAAACTTGGGTTGGTTTTCTTTGCTTCCCTAGACATCTGATAGATGGAAATGCGTCTGTGGATGGAAAAGCGAGGAAAATTATTCCACATTCTCACATCAATAATTATGTTTATAGGTTAGATACCGGTTCATTTATCTACCACTTGTTTGATGAATAAACAATAATTTTTAATTGAAAAAATGGATTGTGTGTGCAGATGCTGCTTAGCTAGAAGAAACTCATAACACCCACTGTCGAGCACTCTCCCAAATGTTGCGGATGCAGAATTACCAATACAAGAGGTAGATATTGAGAACAGTTACCAATTGCAGAGCGTAGAATTTCTAAATTACATACTTTAATAAAAAAGGCAATGGTCAGTCATTGTGTATTTATATTCCAGGTTAATGAATCAAACAGGCTTCCAGGTAATAGTTGTCCAAGATGCTTGAAGAGTTTAAACAATGCTGTCATTTATAGACATGCTCGACTGGTCTGAAGTAGATTCCGTTACAACGGAAGCAGCTGCTGAAGTTGAATCGAGTAGCAACGATGATGTTGAGAAAGAGGTAATGTAACTTCATACCTATCTTGTAATAAACAAAAAATTGAATTTATAGGCATCCCTGGTGAGTGATATTGTCGTATCTAGGATAATAGGGCATCTCCCTTCGGTAAATTAAACTCACTCGTCTCCCAAAAAAGTTAATGGGTTACAGGAAGACCATCGGTCACGTTACATGTAAATAACATTGCAAGTTGAATAGTAATAGTGCCTTTTAGTCTTGTGACAATTATTAGTGATTTCTAATTACAATAACTGCCGATGACCTGGCAT